TTTTTAACACTTTGCTTTATTGTTGATGTCCATCCTTTTAATCTTCTCTTATAGAAGCAAACAATGCATCATTTTGAACCACTTAAATATACTATAGCAACAGCGTTGCTGGAGCAGTGACTGCTGCTAAAAATGGCCTTTCCAGAACTTTGTGGGATCCAAACAATACCTGACAAGGTATCCTTGCTTGCAATATTATGAAGACATTTATCCCTGTGCTGCATGCACAAGTGGCCTCTCTTTGCTCCAGGGAATGACTGAAGGTTTAACAAGTTACCAGAACACAGTGTCTGGAGAGCTGTAAGCCAGTCCATAGGAATCACTGGACGCAGGGTTGTTGGTAGAAGTTAGGCAGGATGAATCTGAGCTTTAATCTTCCTGATCCCATATTCTTTCCAGATGTCAGGCACGGCTTTTCTGTAGAGAACCCTTCCAAGAGTTGTGCTCGAGCCTGGAGCCGCCTGCCCAGTGCTGCCTGACGTCTCCTAGAGCATTCCTCGCTTCAGCCTGTTACTGCTTTTCTAAGCTCACAGAATTTTGCTCTTTTTCCTCTTCTAAAATGTTTTTTTTTCATGTTTGACTGACTTCGGCCTTCTATACCCTTTGAATTGTGAAGAAACTCATAGGCTAAAGTTTTTCTTTCCCCTTGCTGTGACTATCCCATTGTTCCTTTGCCTTTTTCTCTCTTCTGTACTTGCTGAAGCTTCTTTATCTTCAAGAATCTGCATTAGCCTGCCCGCCTCGTACCTTACTGTCGTTCTGTGCATTCACAGTACTTCTCCTCAGTAATCTCCCTGCTTCACCTTTTCTGCCATTATTCTGTGCCTTCTTTCAGGCCAAGCCTTATGCATGAACCAGCGTCCAGTCCTGGTTCCTCAAAACCCCGTCTTCATCAAATCCACTTCTTTCCCAATTCTTTTAACTGATTTCCAGTTAAAAACCTCCTCTCACCAAGCTATTGCTCCTTGCATAACCATCCTTCGTTTAAATTAAGATAATAAATCCTCCTCTGTCCAGTATATAAACAGCGAAGGCTTGTAGATGCCACAGAGCCTTATGAATGTATTAACGTACTAACTGCAGGGCTCTAATTCTAAGGGGGGGACCGGGGCTGCCTACGTCTGACAGCAGTAACAACGAACTTTGAACATAAACTGGTGGAGTCCCCATCCCTGGAGGTATTTAAAAGACGAGTAGATGAGGCACTTAGGGACATGGTTTAGTGGACATGGTGGTGTTGGGTTGATGGTTGGACTCGATGATCTTGGAGGTCTTTTCCAACCTCAATGATTCTATGATTCTATGATTCTAAACGAAGGAAGCATAGGATGAGTTAATACGAGTGAAATTTAGGCAAAGAGTGAAGTTTAAAACCAATCCTAATAAAAGGAAAACCAGAAATTAATCTCATATCTAGTTTCAGTAATGATTCTTGCTTTAGAGGCAAACTGTAAACCAACTCTAAACTCTGAACAAGCCCTGTAACAGTATGCTTCATTAAGCATCAGGATGACAACTGTCTCCTTTTTCTCTTTAGCATGGCCAAAGTTTGTGTATTTTTCCTCCTCTCCTACTGCTCTGGATGTCTTTAGCAGAGGTTTGCTAAACTTAATCTATACTTGTTGACCAATAAAGCCACAATTGCAAATCCTCCCTACGGAGGAAGCTTAGAATGGAAGAAAGTAACTTTGAAGTTGGATGCGTGACAGAAAATTAAGCATGTTTTCCTTAGCATAATTACATACACGCCGAAGTTGTTGCCAGTACAGAAAACACAGCCTAAAGCTGTCATGCTCCTAAGGTTTTGCAGCGGAAACTTGGGCCAAGGACTGTATTGCTGAGAAAACTGAGCTACTAACCAATTCTGCATGCTGCTACAGGGGATGATGGCAGCGGGGAGATGACATGGTGATATCTCCGTAAGAAAGTTACATCAGTTGCCTAAATAAATATCATTGTAAGCACTATTAAACATATTTCAGCACATTTAACGTCTTTCACTACATCTTATACTGTGTAAAATGTAGTCATGTAACAACATCAGTAGGGCTACATAAACACTGCCTTCTGCGCACTAGCCAAAACCTGAGCCTCAACCCAAACCTGCACCAGATGTGGGTTTTAGATGAGCATCAAGGCTACCTGTGGCCAGAGAAGAAATTCAGCCCATGCTACCGTTAAGTTTAATCTCACCTACCTGCATTTGAGAAGATGCTGTGCATATAAACCGTGACTTTTTCTTGGAAGAGTTCCCCACATAGCCTATAGAAACGACTGGCAGCATCAGCTGGCCAGCATGAGGGAAACAAGCTGGCTAGGCTCCCGCCTTCAGGCACTTCATGTGAAATGCTGCAGAGTACTGCAGAAGTTGCAGACAGCAGAATTCTAATTTTCTCCAATGCTGCAATTTTTCACTTAGATGATTTCTCCATTTGTAAACAATAAAACAAAGCCCAAGTATTTTCCTGTCAGGATGGTGGCATGAGGATGAGTTAGCATTTACATATAGCTCTGAAAGGGTCAGTACCCGCTGTGAAAAGGACACAGCGCTCTACGTTTCATGTGATCAGCTCTGGGAGAAACACCAAAGCAACACTCATGAGACATTTAGAAGCTGCAGAACGTTTTGCGCTATTTCTTTGCAACAGTATGTAGTTCAGATCGATATTAATAATACCTGAAACGATCTACTTTATCCAATTAGGTTTTCATTTAATTAAAAAAATCCAATGGTTCTTTAAAGGTATTTAGCAGGCAAAAATGGTAGAAAGTTTGCTGTGCACCAGTTAATCCCACCCTTGTTCCAGTGAGTGCAGCTGGATTCACCTTCTCCACTTCATTTCACTTCTCGCTCACTCTGCTTATAATCTGGTTCTCCAAGAATTTTAGTTTTCTGGGACAGGTTGCAAGTAAGAGAGAAGTAGTAGAAACACTCACAAATGATACTGGAAAAAGCTTAGGATTATTTCAATTTTTTTTAGTCTCAGCATTGAGATGCCAAAATGGGATGGATATGTAAGTACGCTTTAGTTGTCTCTAAAGTGAATTAGTAAATTTCGCAATGAAAACTGGAGATCAGTAGCTGGATGCATGGTTTATGGCATTCAGTGGGTTGCCATACGCTGCGGGACACATCTTTTGAAGGAGATTTTAATCAACTCAAAAGACAATATGGCAACTGGCAGCCTTTTTCTTTATTGAAGCAAAGTCACAGCATTTTCATCACTATTCCCCTCTTGGGAAGAGTTAAACGAAGGCCCCTGAAATTTACATTACTAACAAGTAAAGGATTGAAGAAAGAGATTACGAGCATATTTCTCTAAAATAAATAATCTACAAAGAGTGCTTTTTCTTCTTAAAAGCAATCTAAAAACGTATAAATTCTACTGTAGGGAGATCAAAAGATATTTTAACAACTTTCAATATTTACAAACAATACAAAAACTGCACACGCCATCAAACGATGCAAAATTCTTCTCAAAAATTAAAAGCTTCACTCCTACTAAGAACCAAAAACTCCAGCCAATATTTCAGTTTTAATTAATGGTCTTCTTTACAATTGGAAAACTGTTAAATGTTTTTATTATCTGTAAAATATACAATAAAAACGAACCTCACTAAATTATTAAGGTTAAAAAAGAAGAGCAATACTGCAGGCAAATCAAAAAGGAAAGTAACTGTAACTTATTCTTTGGTAACCAAAAGTTAGCAAGTATCTGTATTTCAAGTGATGAAAAGTAATAATCTTCCCATTTTGACAAAGGGAAGAAAGACTTCTGGCAAAACACAACTCCCAAGTTTCAATTTTGAAAGACAGGCTCCACCTACAGCTCTGTAGTGCAAGTTCTCAAAGTCAAATTTTGCTTTCTAATTCAGAAACGTAACCCTTCCAAACTCTGGCAGTACACTGCTTAATTCCTCTCCCACTTTTCTGTTGCCTGCTCGCATCCTGCCACATCCAGTTGTTCCAGCTCTCTAAGGGAATACTCTAGTCAAGGAAGCAATTCACTTGGAAATGAGTGTTTCACCAAGCGTATGTGTGTGGCTGCACAGCAGCTAGTAGCGTGTTATAAAACTCGGCTCCCTTTTCCACATTAACTACGTATTTCATTTTCCCTCAGGAAAGAAAAAAAAAAGTACCCTGGACCGACTCATAACCTGGTGACCTAGTTGCTTTAGCAGGACACGCTTCATCTTAGACTGGGGCATACCCCAATAATAAGCCATGCAACCCCAACACCAACCCTACTACCTTCTCATAGGTGAATGTGCCTCATCGTGCCTCCCTCTGCTTAACGAATGCACTACGCTGCACCAATACAATGCTTTTGAAGCACATGTCCAGCTTGTACCACAGAAGCCTTCCCATTCCTCTTTTTCAGGCTTATTCCTAAATTTTGCTTGCACAATTGCAGTCTCAAGAAAAAGAAAAACGTCACACCCCTACAGGCTCTGAGAAAACTCCCCCCCGCCCCCCGCC